ATTGATCTCAGCTTCTGCTCTGTGTTCACTTGGACCACCTGCTCAAATAGATGTTGCAGTTGCACAAGGGACCTTAGTGTTAAAGTCACAGAAATTTGGAAAAGATACGTTCTATAGGGTTAAAATTGACTCTGGACTATTTAATAAACCTCATCTACTTTAGTCAGCCTTCAACGTAAGTAAAATGTTCCTCCTTTTCCAAGTAATCTCATTATAAGTATCCCTTAAGGATTTTTATTTACTTACTTGTTCATTCATCAAATGCTGGGGAGGGTAGAACACCACTGTCTACTTCCCTGAGAAAAATACAAGGTGTACAACCACTATTTAAAAGTACTTGTAATTAAGAAGTATGATTTAATGCTCTGGAGGAATTTTGAGAAAGATACTTTAGTCTCAGTACTAAGACTAAGCACTTATAAGCTTTAAGGCAAAAAGCTTTATATGTCTGAGCCCCATTTTTATATAATTATAAAAATGAAGAGATAATACACCCACTCCTCACCCACCGACATGGTTAGTTTCTAAAAAGCAGGTCATTATGCAAAGTTGGTGTTATGCAAAAATGGGGAATGACCAGATCAAAACACAAAATAGAGGATGACTACATCGTTACATAAAGACCAAATCACATCATTATGTAACTGCCAAACTACTGAGAATCACGGCCCAGCCAAGTTAACACACAACCTTAACCATCATAGCCAGTGTTACTCCCACCTCACACCTCGGCATTTGTTACGTCCAAACATTCGTCTGTAACCCACAAAATAGTTGGACAGTAGATTTTTTATTATTGTTGTAAATGTGAAATGTCAGATAATGAAATAGTCGATAATTGAGAAATAGGCATAAAGGTTTCCAAACCTTTAGGGAAGAGGTGTGTGGTGTGGTATGGTTTGTGTGTGTGTGTGTTTTCATGGCATGGGGAGGAGATGTAGTAGTGAAATCCCTGAATGGAGTAGAATAAATGCTCCACTGAAATCTTCATTACTTTTCTCCAGGGAGTCCACAGAGTGTATGTGTTGGTGGCAATAGGTTTGGAGGTATACCAGGTAAGGCTTTGGAATTTATGTTGATCCTAATTTTGGGAGAAAGGGGTCTGTGGACTAGACTCTTGTCAAAGGCAAACCCTTCATTTCAATTACCTTTGCCAGCTCAGAACCTAGCAGAACCCACAGTGCCTGATGCATGTAGGTGTTCTTGTACAATGAAAGACTAAACGAGCTCCAAGCTCTAAAGTTTAATAATTCCAAAAAGATCAAATAGAGAAAAATAATTACTGAAAAGCGAACTTTACTTTTTCTTAACTAAGTTATCAGCAGGTTTTTCATCTACGATAAGCAGGTGAGTTTTCTAGGACATGCTCTCATTTTCTTCTGAGATCATTTTTCTACCTGTATTTGACACTCCAAATTCTATGGAGTATATTAGTGCTATTATGGGAACAGGGGAAAAGTACTATTCAAATCTTTGAGGAATGATCCCTGATTCCTATGAGAAAATATTTACCTTTTGGTCCTAACAGTGTAAGCATAGTTAGTTTTATTGCCCATTGTCATTCCTACCTTGGCAACATTGACGGCAGACCCATAACCAGTAGAAAACGCACAGCCAATGAGGCAGACTTTCTCCAGAGGTGAGGCTGGATCAATCTTGACCACTGAGATCTCATCCACCACCGAGTACTCAGAGAAGCTACTGGTGCCACAGAAGTGGTAGACAGGCTTCCCTCTGCAGGTGAACCTGGTTGTGCCATCCTGCAGGGTCCCCCGAGGCACACTCACACTGCACAGTGCAACAGAGACACACAAGGCATGAGCCAGGCACATAGGGGACGTGCAAACCCACTAGGTGTACAAAGATAGTATCAGAAACCTACTCATTTTTCAAGCAGAAGTTGCCTTCTGGGTGTTTACAAACTTCACATTTTCCACACTGGGGAGTAAAGAGTGGGATGACTTTATCACCTGGAGGGAAATAAAAAAATTCCTAAATTTCTACCCAAGTATTAATAGATCAAGTACTTCAA